CAGCTGCAGCCCTGGCTCGGGAGGGAGGCCCTGCACGCTTGGCAGAGCTGGGTCGATGACCGGGCAGGCCGATCTGGAACGGCATCCCGGCGCCCCGAGCAGGGCCCGCTGACCGCAGCCGCCTCTGCTCTCCCCAGACGCCCATTCACCAGAATCTCAAGGAGCTGCTGGCCATCAAGGCGGAGTTGCAGAAGCGGGTGGAGGACCTGCAGCGGGAGGTGGCCACACGCGCCTCGTCATCATCCGAGCGGGGCTCCTCGCCGTCCCACTCGGCCACCCCCGTCCACACCTCCGTCTGAGGGGCTCCAGAGGACGGCACTCGCGGCGACCCCGGCCGGCCAGGACCTCCCGCTCGGCGGCTCGGGCAAGGGGCGGTAGCTCGTGATCTTGTCTTTTAGGATTAGGCCCAACGTCCTCCAGGCCTGGATGGCACTTGCCACCAGTGACCATTTGTGTGGCTAGGTGACCACGCCCACTGTCCTCAAGCGCTTTTTGTTTCGTGAGCCCGTTCCCTCCTGCCCACGCCGTCCCGTGGCGGCCGCCTGCCGCATCGAGCCCGCGGACCGCCTGGCTCTGCGACCCGGGAGAGGCGCGGGAGGGGCATGGGGCGCGGGGCTTCGGGTTAAGGGGGCCCCACTCCCTTTCTTTCCGAGGTAAGCCCTTCATTTTCAGATACCCCCCCCTTCACTTACAGACCGCGTGCCAGCCACGTGGCTGCCTGAGCCCTTCGCTACAACGCGAAGACCGTTTGGAACTTAAACTCCGGCGCCGGGGCAGCCGCGCCGTTGCCAAGCCTCCAGTCCTCTTCACGCCTGGGGCCCTCCCGCACCAGTTACTGCTGTGTACATAGAAGGTATTTTTAAAAAAGAGAAACATGCCTTTATTTTCCTATGTCCTTTTTTATGTTTGGACTAGTCACTCGAGGAGGTTTCTGCTTAACTGGACTGGGTGAGAAATTCTTTTCCAACAAAGCTCATGCCAACTTCATGTGGTACCTCTGCAACGTGGTTTGAATGGGGCCGCTGAGATGGCACGGTGTCCCGCCCTCCCCCGACACCGGTGCTGGCCTCCCGAGGTGGCCCGGGGACAGTGTGACCCTGCGCCGGCCTCCCCGGCTGCTCCCCGGCCGCCCCCTCCCTGCTGCAGGCTGTTCGCACCGAGCAAGCCCGCCCTGCCCTGCTAGCTGCGCGGCGGCAAGGTTTCTCCCGGCCCCGAGACCCCTCCAGCTCCGTTCCCCCGGCTGCGCCGCGGCACACCACCGCGCTCCCTGGGCCACGGCGGGCTGTGCCACCCTCCCCTGCCCCCGGCACCGCCCTCCCTCCCCCTGCCCCCGCCCTGCCCGATCCACAAGCAGCACAACAGCCCCTTTTCCTCTGTGTGTACCTAGCACACAACCGTTTCTAACACAACTTGAAGTATACTGTTGTTACCTAAGCAATTCTTTGTTTTATTTAAGTGTACTAGAATGTAAAACATTCATGGTTCAGATTTTTAAAGACTGTATCGTATTTGCCTCATCTGATACACTGTATTTCAGTCTGTAATTAAAATAATACGTTTGCTCCGTGGTCTTGTTTTTTTTTTTAAATTTTTTTTTTAGTTTTTGGTATTTTTCCCTTGGGGAAAATGACTAAACCTTCCATACCTGTTATTTTATGTGCCAAGGGCAGTTAATACCCGTAAAGTGCCCTTACAAGATTTTACTCATTCACTAAATCCTAAATGAAATCAGGTCTTGAGTGTCTTGGCCAAAATGGTGGGTAAGTAAGTACTCTGACTTTTAAAATCTGAAATGCCCCTCAACCTTAAGCTGAGAAAATACTGATGGGGGAAAGGCTGGGGCTACCGGAGTCAGCTACGGCTCCAAGGAGGCACGATGCTCCGCCCAGGCCTTGAGTCCTAGAGCCGAAAAGGGGACAGACTTCGGAGAAGCCCCGGGGTCCCCACCCCAAGTCTATGGGAGGAATGCTGGCCTCTGGGGGAGCTGTAAAGGCCTGGATGAGGCCACACTGACCCCTGTGGGTCACCCTTCTCATAAGAGCCTGGGGGTCCCTGTCCTCCATGCAGCGGCCAGTGCTGCTGGGGGCCCCAGCAGCAATACCTGAGCGACAAGCCCGGGGGAGGGGGGTGGCGGGGGCACTGCGCTAGGCCCTGGCCGGCCACGCAGAACTTCTTTACTGAAGACTCATGTGGTGGGTCTGGGTCTGAGGACTTGGTGCTGTTTTATGACGTGGCTGGCGTGGCACCAAGAGGCCACCCGCCTCAATGTGAAAACCCCACGTCCACCGCATCCCGCTCACCCTCAGAGGTCTGGCTGTGTTCTCGGTTTGCAAGCCAAGCTTCGAGGTGACGACACGGCTCACTCGTTCCCAGACGGGCCACTCTGGAACATGGCTGCATGAATGATGGCGTGCAGGGACCCCCGGCCCTGCGCAGCCAAACGACTGCACCAACGCGAATCCACCCTGGATACCGGATTTCTTTGATGATGGTGAGCACTGGGCTGGGGAGTCAGGAGTGTGAAGCCTGCCTCTGCCCCTCTCGAGCCAGCCCGAGGCCTCTGCTCGTCCCTCTGCAGCTCCAGGCCCTGGCTCTGTGTACCGGAGGGGCCCTGACACTGAGCCATTCATCGACAGAAGGAATTGGAGAACTCCAACCTTCTGGAGAAACACCTCGGGCTGGGGAGGAGGGGAGGAAGGTCGACCATGAACTACCTTAAGGGAAAAAACCAGCATCACTTGACAAAGGAAGGCCCTCCACACCATCAGAATACAGTGATCTGTTAGGTTCCATTTCGTTTAATGCAAACACAAGACCATTTACAATTCCTATTTAAACACAAGCACATAAAAAGTACAGGGGTTTCTGAGATCAGTTTCCACTTCTTCCTCAGACAAGGGGTACGAGCACTCCTGAGTCAGGTGCCCGAGGCAGCGGGCCTGGCACTGTTCCCTGGGTCCCACGCCAGGAGGGTGCCCCTCCCCGCGAAGCTGCCACGCTTCCTTCCTCCTGTGTTCAGAGTTACCAACACTGAGCCTCCACCCCCCAGGTGAGCGGATATAGATCGGATATTCCCCATGGGCCCTTCTGGTTCACTCCGTCTTCCCTATCATCTGGGACAGGCCCAGGGTGGTCAAGGCTACTTCCAGATAGACACGGTTACAAGAGCCTGGGCTTCTGCAGGCGTCCCTGCCCGCTGCCCCGCCCCCCGGGACAAGAGCTCTGCCAACAGGTGGCGGAGTGACCTTCCCGGCCTGTCCAGTCACTAGGCGGCCCGGGTGCTGGGTTGTGGGCTTCTAAGGGAGAGCCAAAGGGGTCTCTCCAATCACGGCCACTGATTGTACCTCAGAGCCGGAGGAGCTCAGGGTCTCCACCACCCACGGAAGCCTCCCTGTCAAGCTCAGGTGGACAACTGGGGGTCGGGGGCCGGGGGGGGGGGGGCGGGCACACCCCACCTCAGGGCTCCTAGCCGGCAGGCCCCATAGCTCTAGCTAGTGCCGTGCCGTGTCTGGCCATGCCAAGTGACACGCGGGCCACGTGACTCCTCATCCTAGTTGCCACGGTGGCTAGGACTCCTCTAACGTGCCCGTGGCAGGGAGACAAGTCAGTTACCACACCTAAGTGCCACCTCTTTTTTCCTCCTTTGAGATGCCCCGGGGACCTCAGTGGGCAGCCATCCTCACCCCGTGGGCTGCCGGGCGCCGCCCTGACCCTTCCCCAGCTCCTGCTACCGAGGAAGAATCCTCCAGAGCTGCCCGGCACCAACCAGGGGTGGGGCCATCAGCCCTCGCCCTCCTCGGCGGCAGGGCCAAGGCTGGCCGAGCGGACAGCCCCCGGGCTCTTAAGCAGAGGGGGTGTCGTCAGTGCCCCACACCCGCCTCGCGGACACACAGTCCCGGCCCGCGTGGGCCGCTGCGGAAGGGGCCCGTCAGGGCGGAGGCGGCGCGGCACCGGCTCTGCTCTCAAGGGCAGCTGGAGACGGCGCACCCCGACTGACGCCTCTGGCGCCCGGCCAGGTTTCTCAGAGAGCCGCGACCCCCAGCCCACGAGGCGTACAGCCCACAGCGGCGGGGTCTGCTCCGATTCCCACGGTCTCCTTAGGAAGCCAGCCTTGCCTCGTCCCAGCTCAGCGGACGCCCGGCCCGAACGACGCGTGGGGCCGTGTCCGTAGGGCCCCACCCTCCTGCTGACTTCTGCTGCTGGAAGTGCTTTTGGGCACTGCAAACTGATCATCAGAAGACGGTGGCTCTAGACTTTGGCTCAGCCTCAGACAGCGGAGCGCCCAGGGACAGGACCACACGTGGGCCGAGCGGCACATTCCAGGAGGCCAGCCCAGAGCCGACTGCTCCGGGCCAGGGCAGGGGCCGGCCCCCGGGTTCTGGCGTTTGCCGCTTTTCATCAGGACAGGACAGGCAGAATCATCCTTCCAGACCCACGCAGTCAGGCATGTGTCACCGAACCCGGCAACCGTTCCTTTCCCCATCCCGCTCCCACCTCAAATACAATTTTAAGCAAAAAAAAAAAAAAAAAAAATGCTTCCGGCTCCGCCGCTTGTTCTCGATGTCTGTAGTTTTTGCTACCAAAATAAGAACACGTACAGGGCAGAAGGGGAACACTCATTTCAATGCATAAATGATTCCTAAAAGCTAAGCATGTCAGCCAGGAGACCGCACCCGGTCCCCTGTGGAATCAGAGGGGAATCGGGCCCCAGAGTCACAGCTTCCTACTTGTCCAGAAGGTTCCTAAATTCTCAGGGCAGGGCTATCAAGGCATGCATGCTTGCACTTAAATAAATGAAAAGCCACCACTTGGACCAGCTCTCTGGAAGCCCAGCAGTGTCAAGGCTGGGTGGTGTGCGTGCGTGTGAGAGAGGGAGTGTGAGCGTGTGGTTACCTGATGCTCTCCCGTTCGCTCCTCGCACTACCCTGGGCTCAAACTCTTAGCCCCGGAGCATCAAAGTCCTCGGGTGCACCCCCCCCCCCCGTCGTCTCGGGCTCCGGTGGCTGGCTTTCTGCCAGAGCTGGGCCTCGGATTCGACACCAAGTCTCTTCAGAGCCTCTGGCAGGGCAGGCACAGAAACCAAACTCACACACACCCCGAGCTCATCCGGAAGTTAGAGCGAGAAGCCGATGACGTCAGAGAAGCGGGTCCAAATGGAACGAGGCGCTGGTCACGAGCAGTGGCCCTCAGATCCGGGGCGCTTCGGGGGGCGGCGGCTCCGCGGCCTGCGTCTGCAGCGTCAGGTATTTCACTAGCGGGAGAGAGGCCTCGGTTACCGGGGACGCCCGCCCCGCCGCCAACGCGGCAGATCCGCGCCCGAGGCCCCGCGCGCCCCGTCTGTTCTGTCCAGGGCCTGGGGACGGCTCGGGCCCTCCTGGCCAGCCTCCCCTCTGGCGCGCACTCTGTCCCCAGTCGGGGCGACCCTGCGCCCTGCGAGAGCAGGAGGAAGGCAGACAACCCCCGTCCTCGTCGGTAAAATGGGCACGCTCCCGGCGGGGCTGGCTGGCCACCGTGGTCGGCTTCCCTCTGCTCCCCTCGGTCCCCGTCCCCGCGACACAGCGATGGGCCTGTCCCCGCTGCTGCTTTCCGCTCCAGGGAGACCAGCCCGGCTCCCCGGCCTCCCTGCCTCCTCCTGCCTGCCCTCACACGGCCTCCCATCGCCCTCAGAAAGTGCTCGACTGCAGAAGGGAGAGGCACGGGGGTGGGGGGCGGGGGGCGGAGGGGCAAGGGCCCTGAGAAGAGGCTCTGTTTTAGCTGAGTCCCTCTTGCCTTTGGGCAGTCTTCAAAACGCAAAGTCACAGGCCTCATTTCAAAGCTTCCCCACAGCTGGGCGGGCGTCTGTCTGGGCCGCATCGCTTCCCCCCCCCCCCCCCCCACAGGGAGTAGAGGCGCCTGGTGTCATGAAGCTGGAATCTGGCTCATCGAGGGCAGAGTGCAATGAGCCCTGGGCCCCGGCAGCCGCCTGTTCTGGCCGGAAATTCCAGAAACGGACGCCTCTGTGCTTCCCTCGTTCCGCTTAGCGCGGGGCCCACCGACTAACAGCCCTGCAGCAAGAACCGAGGGCCCGTGAGGCCTCACCTTGGGGCTCCTCACACACAACGGCTTCCAGGTTCTCTCCCTTCACGTAGTCTGCATTCAGACCCTCTGCAAAGGGCAAAGAGCAGAGGTGGTGACGGACACAGAACCGAAGGGCCCCTGACCAAGCCCGGGGGTTCTCGTCATGGTCCTCAGAGGACGCACAGCAAGGGCCTCGGCCCCGCACCCCCCCCCCCCCGGGGCAGGTGCCACCCCCCGGGAGACGGGGGCCCAGACAGCAGGCTCAGCACCACCCACGGGTCCGCATGCCAGCCCAGGGTCCAGCGAGGTGGGGGGAGCCAAGCGCCGCACGAGGGACGGACAGAGGCGGGGTGGAGAGGGGCAGATGGCAGAACAGGCCACAGGCGCCCCTTCGGGCCGCCAACTCCCCCAGCCGGGAGGGGAGAAGCGCCGTGTGCACCGCCGCGCGGAGGGCCCAGCGCGCACGGGGAGCTGCTCTGGTCCCTTGTATGGGCGTCCCCCCACCCCCCCCACTGCCTTCCAAGAGGGGCTCGGGGACTTTCTCAAAGCTTCCTCTGCCTGCCGGCACTCAGGTCACTGAGCACCCGGGACTCCGAGGGGACCCCAGCCTGCTGCTACTTAGGGGGAGTCCAGAGTCCGTGTCATGGCCCTGGGTAAGCGGACGGCTGGAAGCCTTATCAGAGCCCTGGGCCTGTGGGCAAATCGGGCCACGGTTCTCAGCAACCAAATGACTGAGCAGGCACAAAGTCCCTCTGCCACCCGGGGCTACATCCAGGCTCCCCGTACCTCAGAAAAGTACGCCTGCCTGCCCTGGTGCTTTCGAGCTCAAGGTAGACACCGGACGGGCCCAGGAAGAATGTGGGCATTGCTTGGCTGGCAGGGGTGGCTGGCTCCGTGTGGGGCAAGACCGGTGAGGGAGCCAGCGGAAGCGGCTCCTGCCCGAGGGCCGTGGGCTGGGAGATGCACCCGAGCCTCCCGATCGCTGCCCCCTGCCAGCCTGGCACGCACTCAGCGGGCCCCGGCCTCCCAGACAGGAGCCCCCACCCCAGCCGCGCGGGGCCCAGAGACAGAAGACAACAGAGTGAGCTAAAGGTGGTCGTGGTCACAGCCAAGTCGGTGAGGGCCAGGGAAGGGCTCGGGGTGCAGGGTGGGGACGAGGAGCAAGAACAGCGGGTGGGGAGGGTGGACAATGATGTACTGTGGCCAAAGCAGAAGAGGAAAATGAGAAAAAGTCGAAGCATGTCATTACCTTGACCTTCTGCTGCATCTGAAGGCAAGACACAAAGCTTAGGACCCTGGAGTAAGAAGTTAGCCCCCCCGCAACAGACCACAGGGGCTTTCTGCGAGATGCACTGACCCTGTCACACTGAGGGCAGAGACAGAAAGCAGAGGGTCCCCAAAGCTCCCCCTCCCCAACCCCGGCAGCCATGCCCCATCTCCCTGGGGCTTCCCGGTGCACGGGATGCAGAGCAGGTTCCGCTCTGCCTTCTGTCACCTCCACGCGGTGCTGGCCGTGGCCTGGCATAAAGGGTAGGATGGGAAGTCCTGACCCCAGCTTCTCAGGGGGCTTAGTTGCTCCACAAACATCCATGGGGCTCCTCCCGATTCCGGCCTGGGTGCCAAGGACACATCCGTGAATGAAGCACACACGGTCCCCCACGGAGCTGCCAGTGCCGGGCGCGATGCGGGGGCGGTGGGCAGTCACAGATGCAGGAACCCAGCCCAACGCGGCCCCGCGGGCTCCAGGCCCGGTCGGCAGGGGGCGCTGTGGCAGCACGCAGCCTGGGCATCCAGCGAGTCCCACGGGCCCGGAGGGCAGGAAGGCTTCCCGGGAGGGTGCCCCAGGCCCAAGGATGAGCAGAGAACCCAGCTATGTGAGAAGAGGGCCAGCGGAGAGAGCAGGGCACGCTCGGGGAGGGAGTAGGGCTTCTGGGGACAGGGGCTGCTGGTGTGGTTGGTGCCAAACCAGGAAGGGTTTGAGCGGCCAAGCTTAGCGTCTGGACCAGGACCAGCAAGGCAGTGGGGAACGTGCGAGGTCGAGGCAGAGCCGTCCCTCTGGCTGCTCTGAGCAGGGAGGAGTATGGGGGAGAGCGGGGCAGGCGGGAGGCTGACGGAACCAGCCTGATGGAGGATGGGGAGACCTGGCCCCGGACAGGCAGAGGCCGTGGCCGAGCTGATGGAGAGGTGCGGCCCCAGGGCAGGCCTGTGCAGGGGGCACCAGCGCCGGGAGGGGGAACCCACTCACGCAGGAGGGGGCTCGGAGACAGGAGCAGAGACTACTGACAAGTTCTGAAGAGTGCTGATAACGCAGGGGTGGGTACAGGAGGGAGGTCTTCAAATCTGGGGGATACGCCACACTCGGTTCCCTTCTGTGTGAGGACCATGCTTGCACGAACGTGTCCGGGGAAGGGACTCGGGACAGTGTGGGTCCAGCAACGACAAGGACATCCTTGACAGACGGAGGGGCAAGTGGGGGGCAAGGGGGGGGACGGAGTGACAGTGAGATTCCAGAGGCTGAGGGGGCGTGGGGCTGCCTCCCCCACCAGCAGACCGGCCGCCACCTCCAGGCTGCCCTCAGAAAGACGGCAGAGCCCGGTCCTCCCGCAGGCCGGCTCACAGCCCCCCTCTTCGGTTTATTCTCCCTCAAGTATCACATAAATCGTTCAACTCTATACGCCAAGGCCGTCACGGTCTCATGTTTTCTTTGGCTTTGCCTGCTAATCCAATTTGCAAAGCCTCACACCTGTTTTAGAAAACAAGTGTGAAAATCAGGTATTTTCACGTCACTTGGTGCGCCCCCCGCCGGTCTCTTCACTGCTCTGCCCTCCCTGCCCCGGTCTCAGGCTCCCCTGTGGATCCGGCACGTCCGGACTCGGTTCTTTCAACAGTCCTCTGAGCCTCTGTTTCCTTGTTGATAAAGTCAGGGTGCCCTCGAACCTGGGCCCTGGGGCTGACAGGGGAGGCCTCAGGGCGGGACCCCACATCCAGCACTCGGCAGTGGCGGGGAAGCCGTTCGCACTGTAACTCTGTTACCCAACATGCCTCCTCACGGCTCCAAGCCCCGTGCCCTGGCATACGAGCCACCTGCCCAGCTCTGATCAGCACGGATCATGAGCATCTCCGTTAGGGTGATGATGCCGTACTGCAGGAATGGCAGCCCCCAGAGACGTGGCCACGTCCTCCAGCCCCTACCACCTATGGATGTGACCTTATTTGGAAAACGGTCCTTGCAAGTGTGATTAAGGATCTCAAGATGAGATCATCCTGGATTTAGGGTGGACCCTGTGATGACAAGTGTCCTTATAAGAGACAAGGAGAAGGCACACAGACAGAGGAAAAAGTCATGTGAAGCCAGAGGCAAAGATCGGATTGGTGGGACCACAAGCCGAGGGACACCCGGAGCCACTAGAAGCTGGAGGAGGCAAGGAAGGATCCTCCCCTACAGCCTCCAGAAGGCACAAACCCTGCTGATACCTTGATCTTGGACTTCTGGCCTCCAGAACTGTGAGAGAATAGATTCTGTCATTTTAAGCCACTCCATTTGCTTTTGAACTAGGACAAGAGACAGCTCTAAGGATAATCCAGCTTCCAGTTCCATACTCCTTCTTGACACCCCCCTATTCACACCACTCTACAGCCAAGCTTGTGGGTCCAAGGTGGGTCAATAGGATCTCAAGTGGGGCGACCATGAACAGTTGCGCAGGTTGTAGACTGAAACATGAACCGCGCACACCACCTGTGTAACCATATGTGGTGGCCCTGGTCAAGAACGCTGTACAAGAGTAAGAGAAACAAATATAATCGCCAGAGGAACAAAGAGGTGGAGACTTCTGCATCACCCACATCTAAGCATTCTGGGGCTCGGGCTCATTGGTTGGTTCCAGGCAGAGGCCCAGAGAAAGGGCAGGGAGGGGAAGCCTCAGAGGAGGTGCTCCTAAGCTTTAGGAAAGAGGAAAGCCAGGCTTGAGCCAGGCCCTCTCACTTGAACTAAAAATCGCCAGTCCTAGAGACACAGCGTCAGTAAGCAGTGACACATCAAAGCCGTGCTAGTGAAACGAGCAAGGGCGCCCTCCTTGCTCACCCTCGCTGGGTCCCCACAGGCTGGCAAGATGGGGCTCGCTTTGTCACTATTCGACTTACAGCTTAGACACGCTCGGCTACAGTATACAATGAAAGCAACCTTTTGCATGTGAAGCATGTGGGGGGGGTACAACCCCCCCCCATTCTGCCCCTTGCCTTCCTGCTCCTTGAAAGCCCTCATCGTTGCGGCGGCGCGCTGGCTCTCAGAGCCCCGACCCCTGCCTGAGCTCCCGAGGAGGCCGGCGGTGTGAGCAGGCGAGACCTGAGGCCGAATGGAAAGCCCGGGCCCTCTCCCGCTCTGACACAAACGTCAGCGTCCCCCCGCACCGCCCACAGAAACACAGCCAGTTTAAACCTGGGTCCGGCCTCGACCTGTCCACCCCGGAAAGTCCACTCAGGAGTCGGTCTGGAATGGACCCGAATCATGCCCCCGTTTCTGCCCGTCTCCCTTGAAAGGCCTTGGCCCCTTGGTTTGGAGGCCACAGGGTGGTTGCACTTACGCTGGATGCTAAAGCAGAACTTCTTCTGCTGGTAGGAGATGTAGCTGGAGACCGCGCCGATCAGGGCCATGGCCAGGGCGCTGGCCACACCCGCGATGGTGCTGGCCTCGGCCGACACTCCTAGGCAAGCGGGGGGAGAGGGGGAGACATGAAGAGACGTGGCACCAGGCCAACAGCCCCGCGACACCGGCTCAGGCACCTGGCTCTCCTCTCACCACCGAGCTAAGCTCGTTCAAACCCCCGCGACCCCCAAGCCAGTGTGACAGGGCGAAGCCACTTCTATCTAAGGCATCTGCCAAGCACTTCTAGTTTTCCATAAGGATTTCCACCTCTCAGGCCAGCAGGCTTCCTTCCCATGGGGCCACCTCCCCGGGGACCCCGATTTTCATGCTTCATTCTCTTAAATCACTGTATCCTTCTGCTGCTGGCCGGGTGGCTCTCTCCTGGAAATAGGGGAAGGCCGGCACTAGGTCTCCTCGGGACACAAACCCACCGGATTCAGAGTCGTCACTGCCATGCCGACCATCACCTGGAAAAAGGACAAAAACCGTGAGCCTGTGACCCCCCAGCTTGCGGGCAGCCTCTTCCCAACTCAATGACCCTGATTCCACCCCTGCCACAACACCTCCAGTAAATCCCCAGTAGGCTTCTACCTGACTCCGGCAAGAATGGCTTCCTTATGCCTATCAGCTTGCAAAGCCCAGGCGACCAGGTACAACTCGTTATTTGTAAAACGACAGTGACTGTGCCCTGGGCATGTTCTATCCCAGCTCTTCATACATGGGATTCTTGGCAACGCGGTGAGGCGGGTGCACCTAGCCCCCTGATCTTACAGGGGAGGGAGCAGGCTCGCCGGTGAGGGACTTGCCAGCAGGTGGCAGAGCTGGACCCATGCCAGGTAGCCCATGTATGTACTGTCTCCTGTAAGAAGTCTCAATTCTTTATCTGATTGCAGAAAATGCTTCTATTAAACTTTTTTTTTTTTAAATAAAGGATGGAAGACTAGCATAAAAACAACTCATAATTCCACCACCCAGAGAGATCTGCAGTTAATATTTCAATTTACTTGCCTCCTGGGCCTAGTGCTTCACATGTTTTTCTTCCCATCCAGATGCTTCCATTCGTGTAAGGTAGCTACAGGAGCTGCTGGTGACCCGGGGTTTTTAAGGCCCGTCACCTCTACCTTGGCACATAAGCAAATGGAGGCTGGCAGTCCCTGGTCCAGTATTTTGAAATTCAAAAGTCTCCGGAACAGATCAGTGGGTGGCAGGGATTAGGGCGGGGGGGGGGGGGAGGGGGAGACGGCTTGACTCTGAAAGGGCCCTTCCGTGTCAGAACTGGTCTTCATCGGGGCCCTGGTGGCAGTCAGACGCGTCTATACCCGTGAGTGTGATAAAACTGCACAGAACTCAACACACACGCTTACCTCCCCAGATGGCAGTGCCCTGACGAGCAACTGGTACCATTTCAGGACATTCATTAGCCTTGGGCTCCCCCTTCTTCTCAGGGCAGAGCGCTCATTCATGGAGCGGGGCTGTACGCCCAGGGCCCAGGGTTTTTAAGGGAAACCGCTCTGGGATGTTGGAAGCAATGAACTCTGGCACTTCCTCCACCAATCGGAGTCCGGGGATGCACAGGCTCATGGACTGTAACACATGCGCCCTTCTGGTGGTGGTCGGGGGGTGTTGGTAACGGAGGGGGGGGGCCGTGGGGGGAGCATAATTTTGCTGTGAACCTAAAACTGCTCTGAAAAATAAAGTCTATTTTTTTTTAAAAGAGTGTGGGACAGAAAATGAGGTCTGTTATGTTCCCACTTAGGGCTGAACCCTTGAGTTGAAGATCCCTGATTGGATACAGAAGGTTACTTCAAAAGCACAGTCAGTGCCATTGCAAAGCACTGAGCAGAGAGGGGGGCACAGGGCCCTTTGTGCACCAGCAGGTCCGCGGTGAGGTCGCCTGTGAGGGTCCGGAGTCTGATGGTGTTGGCCCATCGGCGGTCCCTTCTGCTGCGCTGGACATGGCCACTGCCACGGGCAGGGGCAGTCCTTTCCCAGGCGTCCTCTGCTGACGTGCTCACGTCAGCAGATCCCCAGACAGGTTCGAGCAGTTCGACCTCCTCTTCCGCTCACCTCAAGTCCTGAGCCTCACGATCCGTATGACCATGAGCTACAAGAATGTCACATGAAATGCGGACAGGATGGCGCTAGCCACACAGGCCAAAAGGTGGAAACCACCCAAAGGTCTTGAATCAGTTAATGAATACAGATGTTTTTGGAATTTATGTAAAGGGTTTCATCATCCCTAATGTAAAAGGAGTCCTTACAAGTTGACGAGAAAAGATGCAGACTCCAGTAAAAAGAAAAAAAAAAAAAACGTGGGTAACGAATGTGAACAGGGAATTCAACACAATGTATTAGGAGGGTCCAATACGACCTAGAGGTAAAAAGTGTTCCACCTCTCTTGTAGTCGAAGAAATGCAAATGTCAACAGGATAGCATTTTATACTGATCAAATTTACAAAGATTACAAAACCAGCGTACCCAGGGAAGCTGAGGGCAGGTAGGAGGGGACGCCAGTACTACCTCAAGGGAGTACTGCTTGGCAGGACACTTGGAGTCACATCGTTAAAACTTTATACTTCCTGTGACCCAGCAAGTCAACACCTAGGAATTTAGCTGACAAACACTGAGGCTTCTGTGTATTTGGCTCTGAGGAGGTTTATCACGGCACGGTGTACAGTGGTAAACAGCCGGAGAGAGAGACCTCTCAAAACAGGAACTGGTTAAATAAATTATGGTATAACATCATGCACTCATTAACACAGTATTTTAGAGTACTCTTTAATGACCGAGAAAAATAGTCAGGGTGTTACTGAATAAAAACTGGTTTTAAAAAAGCAGCATGGTCCCATTTTTATAAAAATAAATATTTACAAATGTGTATTATCCAGAGAAAAAGTACTACAAGCATATACTCCAAAGTATTACTGGTGACTCTTCCGGGATGGTAAAACAATAAAGGAGTACTTTCATATAATTTATAAGAAATGTTTAAAATAGACCCGCCCCCATTGTCCCACACCTGGAGGGACAGCTCAGAGAAGCTATTCCACACGTTGCTGGCAGGATCTTCATTTTCAAGGACGGTACGTTTTGTATCCCGACCTGCCTCCTGGGGTCACGATTATATTATACAGCACGCTTACGTACCAAAGAGACCATACATCCAGATCGCCATGTGGAATGCCAGAGCTCGGGGGGCCCTTGAAACTACAGTGACTGCACGTACAGGAGGCACTGTGTCCGCGAGGAGGTCCTGAACATGCCCTGTCGTGAACAGAAGCGCTAGATCCAGCGCACCCTCAAATGCAAAAGACAACAACGCACGTACCCGCGCACACACGTCGGTCTTCAGGCCGCCACAGCCACGTTCCTGGGAGGCAGGGAGGCGAGGCACGGATTTGCCCTTCTCTGACAAGAGCACGGCCCAGGGCTCACAGCGAGCGCCTGACACATCTGATTTGCCAAGGGCATGGAGGCGGAACGGTGGGGAGATTCTACCTAGAACCGCTGGGGGCGGGGGGTGTTCAAGTGTTTAAGGACTTGCGTAAGTATGTTAGTCTCCCAACAGCCACAGCTGGGACTTTTAGATTTTTTATAAATTTACTTTCACTATAAGAAGATGAGCAGCAGAAATGCAAAATAAAAAGTTAATAATTAAAGGTGCGAGAAGAGCGCGTGGCAGACTAAAGGGCTTGAAATTGTCCTGCGGGTGGTGGGGGAGCCATTAAAGAGGCTTGTCTTTTGGCTTCTTTAAAAATTTTCCCCTATATTTAAGAAAAATTTCAAACATACTAAAAAGTTGAAAACACTGTACAGTGAACACTCCTATCCACCCTCTGAATTCTATAGTGTTTGGCACTATGTGCTTTATCACATGTCCGTCCGTCTGTCCATCTGTCCCTCCATCCATTCATCAGTTTCTCTTATTTCTACGCTGCATTTCAAAGGCAGTCACGGACATCGGTACACACCACCCCTAAACATATTATGACCTACGGTTCCACATTTGCTTACGATGCCCTTTTTTAAGGTAAAATTTACATATGGTAAAATTTACATATGGTAAAATACACAAATCTTATGTGTACCATTTGGTAAGTTTTGGCAGATGCAGCCCCCTGCGAAACCCGTACCTCCACCAAAATATACAACAGCACCGTCACCTCAGAAAGTTCTCTCGTGTCCCTGCCCCCATCGATTCCTGTCCACATCCCGACCCCGGCAGCCACAGACCTCGTTTCTAACTCTATAGATCAGTTTTGCAACTATCAGAATTTCATATGGTTGGGCTCATATAGTATGCACTCTCTTTTCATTGACTTCTCTCACTCGGCATAACGTTTTTGACATTTACCCATGTTTTTATATTGGCAATTCGTTCTGTCATATGAATATATAAAGATATCACAATTTGTCTATTCATTCTGCTGCTGGTACTTGGGCTGTTCCCAGTGTTTTGTTTTTGTTTTGCTATTATAAATAAAGCTGCTATGAATATTCTTTATAAGTCTTTTTTGGACAGAAGCTCTCATTTCTCTGGAATAGGAGACTGCTGAGTCACTGGGTAGGTCTATGTTCAGTATTTCAAGAAGCTTTCCATTCCCACCAACAATGTAGGAGAGTTTCAGTTAACCCACATCTGCACCGACATTTGGTATTGTCAGTCTTTCTAATTTTAGCCACTCCTGGTGGATGTGTTGTGGTAGTTCGCTGTGGATTTAATTTGCATTTCCCCAATGAATAATGATTTTGAACATCTTCATATAATTTCCCTCTATATAAAGTGTCCGTTCAAATCTTACGCTCGTTTTTTTAACTGGGCTGTTTGTCTTTCATTAGTACACAATAGTTTTAAACAGAGGACTGACCAAAGCAGTTTTGTGTTCCTGAGGGTTCTCTCTGGCAGCGGTGTGGGGGACAAACTGGAGCCAGGAGACCAGTTAAGAGGTTAAGGTAACGACCCAAGAGGGGAGGGCATGTGGACCTGGGCTCGAGGGGAAGCAAAGAGAAGATTCTAAATTCAAATGATACCAGGGGAGAGGACTTCTGGCATGACCGAGTGAGGAGGTCAACAAATCCTCTCCTCAAAAAGCAGCTATAGCCCCGGACATTCAGAGGCATCCATGTCAGGAAACGGATTTAGCTCCAGCAAGAAGAGCTGAAGTCTGTGGCCTCTGCGACCAGGGTTTCTCTTGCTCCCCCTGCCCCCAAGGTCTTCCAGCAGCCAGTGGGACTGGGGAAGGGCTGACAGGCCACAAAAGCCCGCGTGACTTGAAACACTGCCAGCCTCTCAGTGGCGAGGAAACAGGCAGAGCCAGCGGCTCCTTCAGCCCCAGCAAGCCACCAGTCACCTTGCCAGGGATTTAAAAAGGAGGTGGAGAGGTAGGACAACCACAGGGGGCTCAATAACCTCTCCACAGAGCCTTGTTGGCCCTGAAGCCGAGGACATGCCCAGCAGAGACAGGCTGGTATTGGCTGAAGGCCAGCCATAGAGATAGGTCGATGGAGCAGACTGAGTCCAGAAACAAAACCTTACCCTTACGGTCAACGGGTTTTCACCAAGGGAGCTGAGACAGTTCAGTGGGGAAAGGATACTCTAATCAGCAAACAATGCCACAATTGGATATCCACATGCAAAAGAATAAAGTTGGACCCCTATCTCATGCCATATACAGATTAATTCAAAATGGAGCAGCAAAGACCTAAATGTACAAGCTAAAACTGTAACACCTTTAGAAGACATAGGAAAAAAATCTCCATGACCTTGATTGTTCTTAAACGCCAAAGCATGATTCATAAAAAAACTGATAAACTGACCTTTATAAAGAAATACATATTCAACAAACAACACTCTTAAGAAAAGGAAAAGACAGCCATGGACTGGGAGAAGATATTTTCAAAATCATATACCACCTGATAAAGGACTTGTACCCAGATTATATAAAGAACTTGTAAAAGCAAAAAACCCGATTTTTTTTTTACAAGGCAAAAAATCTGAACAGACTTCACCAAAGAATATAAAATAAGAATATAAAAAGATGTTCAACATCACTTCTCATTAGGGAAATACAAATGAAAAAAACGGGGGCGCCTGGGTGGCTCAGTCAGTTAAGCGTCTGCCTTCGGCTCAGGTCATGACCCCGGGGTCCTGGGACTGAGTCTCGCATCGGGCTCCCTGTTCAGTGCGGAGCCTGCTTCTCTCTCTCCTCCCTGCTTGTGCACACACGCTCTCTCTCTTTCAAATAAATAAATAAAATCTTTAAAAAAAAAATGAAAAAATGACGAGATACCCCTACCTACCTATTAGAATGTCCCAAATCCAAAAGAGCTGACAATTCCAATTGCTGATGAGGACATGAAGCAAAAGGAACTCTCATTCATTGTTCATGGGAAAGCAAGATGGTGCAGTTTATCACCAAGTTAAACACAGACTTACCATATGACCCAGCAATCATACACACCGTTCCAAGTGAACTGAAAACTTATGTCCACACAAAAACCTGTAAGTGTTTATAAATGTTTATAGCAGCTTTATACATAAGCGTCAAAAACTGGATGCAACCAGGATGTCCTTCAACAGGTAAACAGCTAACAAAAAGTGCTCCATCCAGACAATGGACTATTATTCAATGCTAAAAAGAAATACACTATCAAGCCATGAAAAGACATGGAGGAACCTTCAATGCATACTGCTAAGTGAAAGAAGTTCGTCTGCAAAGGCTACACGCTGCATGATTCCAATTATAGGACATTAAGGAAAAGGCAAAGCTATGCAGAAGGTAAACAGATTAGTGGTTACACTAATAGAAAACAGATTAGGATTGAGGAAGGGAGAGTGGCTGAGTACCAGGCGGATGCACAGAAGAACGTTTATGGTGACAGGACAGTTCTGTATGGTACTCGGGTGGTGGACACGTGACCAAGTGCATTTGTAAAAACCCACACAACTGTACATCGCAAAGAGTGAACTTTAATGTATGTACGCAAAAGAACGAAACGGAACATTGACTAGGTGTGCGGGCGATCCCAGGACGGGATGCAGGCTGTGACAACTGAATCTAACTGCCTGAGAAACGGAGGAGGAGGGAGAGAGGAGCCGACCCAAGTAACCTTAAAAAAGGCTATTTTTTTTTTCAGTATTTTATTTATTTGACAGAGAGAGAGAGAGAGAGAGAGAGACAGCGAGAGAGGGAACACAGGCAGGGGGAGTGGGAGAGGGAGAAGCAGGCTTCCGCCGAGCAGGGAGCCCGATGCGGGGCTCGATCCCAGGACCCCGGGATCATGACCTGAGCCGAAGGCAGACGCTTAACGACGGAGCCACCCAGGTGCCCCCAAAAAGGCTATTTTGACTGGAAACTGTAAGGGAAAGGCCAAAGGATTTAAACATAAAGCCTGTCCTGTCGATGGTAAAGGTATTCCTCAGAGAGGTATGAGCGGATACCAAAATTGGGCAAAGCACGCAAATCGCTGACGAATGGTAGGTTTCCCCCTGGCAGAGAGGGAAGTTACAGAGAAGCAAGAAAGGAAGGCCAAAAGAAAGCTTTGGGCACTGGATCACAGTTGGAGAATAGGTATGAACTCATGTTTAGGTCAATATGAATGTTGATGAATAGAGAACATCACAGGTGCACGTGTATACATGGTTTAGTAGATCACCACATACTTCTTGCCTACTCCTGCCCCCTTGAAGGGTATAGAAGCAGCGACATCCCACTAAGTGACGGACACACTCAAGACTCAGGTCTTTGCTTCTAAAATCAATCACTTCCGGGGAGGAAGACAATGATATACCGAACAGGACACCCAAGGAAACCTTCCCAGCAGGCAACAGCGTGAAGAAGGGAATGAGACCAAGAAAGCGGGAGAGTGCCGGGAGGAGGCGGGAGAAAAGAATGTGCAGCGGCAGATGGTCATCGAAGTCAGGTACTGCAGTGACCATGGAGGCCGCCGCGGACCAAAGGGCACCTCAGCAGAGGGGGCTGAGGCTTGCGTACGCTACGGCGTAGGCCCAGAGGAGACAATGAGGAGTGGAAACTGGCCTCAGGTTTCTCAGTGGGTGAAAATGCAAGGGAACGGAAGGCGGCTGGCAGGACCTGTTGACAAGAGACTGCCCCTGTCACCTACAAGCAAAACATGGGGTGCTCCTGCAAGACCGAGAGAAATATCTTCTTGAGAAAAAAAACCTATATAACAGATAACATATTATTTCAAAAACAAACTCCAAAACTACAGCTGAGTCTCGTGTATGTGCCTAAGATCCAAAGTTGGAAAATAACGTTAATTAGGATCGTTTTTTTATGCTGATGATTATCACGTATTGAAACAGGATGTTTTATCCTCACTCGTGGCATTAGCATGTCTGCATAGAGGAGAATGTCTGAGAATTTCATCGTGTGCTCATCATGACCATGTGGGACCAGGCTCACACTTGTATTTTTTTGCTGGGACCCCCTTTATTTTCTTTTAATGACGCTTATAATGACAAAGGGTATAACTTAAGCTAACAATGGATTATTCTTTAGACGAGAAGTTTAAATACGAGCCTAATTAAAGAATTTTCCAACACTTCTTCCTTGCTAAAACACGTACTGGTAATAAGCCCCCAGCGTGCCATTCAGCCTTCCATCCGTGCGCGCGCTCCCACTTGCTACCGCTGCCCGCATCTCACCATCTGGAAATACCATTTGTCACCCAGGAGTAATTGGCCAATTTGCTGGGTTTGCCCTTTAAATGTTCCATGTTCTCCTGACACCTGTGAGTTTCGTTTAGTGGTTTTTAGAACTTTTTACCCAAGATGGCATTGTCTGGAAAGGTGTTCTGAAGGACAGATGTGACTACGGTATCCTTTAATGTGAAGGGAACACTGTTCCACAGGAAATGTACACGGTCCCTTGCAAGAAGGGGGCAGACGCTAACGCCACAGCCAGACACACTCCTAACTCATTCACGCAGGACATGCTAAGTCACAACCTGCCCCCACAACAGGCTGCCATCACGCCAGTCACAACCGTAACAACTTAGCATCATAACTACAAGTTACAACATACCATCAAAACAGGCAATCACATGCAAGTAACAATCACAAGTTCCAATCATAGCTTATTTTGCCACATCAAATCCGGCTGATTCTCTCCATAATAGGATCAGATCTTGATGTGTATTAGGATAAAAGGTTTAAGTCTTCGGTGGTTTTGGAGGGCAGGGGAGGAACAGTTCTGTATTCGGCATCCTGGTTGGTCGCGGTCACTGAAATCTACATACACGACGAAATTTCATAGACCCACAGTGCGCGCATGCACACACGAGTACATGCAAAAGCTGATGTAATCTGAATCGGGTCTGTATGCGACTTAATCACAGTCTGTACCAATGCTGGCTTCCTTTGACAACATACTACAGTTATTGTAAGGTCAGTGGCAACCTTCAGGGGACCCTGGGTGAAGAGTACACAGAAATTCTCCTGAATAAGTTTTATAACTTCTTGTGAGTTCTAAACTAATTTTATTTTATTCTATCCCCAACGTGGGGCTCGAACTCACAACCCTGAGGATAATCTCCTTTTTTGATTCAGACAATCAAGAGTCGCACGCTCTACGGACTGAGCCAGCCAGGCACCCTGAGTTTTAAACTATTTTAAACTAAAAAGATCTTTTAAAAGATGTCAGACTTGCTATGGGTCTCCTAAAAAAAATGCTTGTCATGATGAGCCTTGCTGTTCCCAACCCAAGGGTGAAAGGACCCCCAGATTGGGGGCAGGAGTGGTCCCCAGTCACTGGTGCCGCCTGGGCAAGTGGCTCCGGCTCGGGATGGAGATATTAGCCATGCTGCACTTTGCCTTGGGGGCACCAGGGGGAACGTGTGGCTTTTCCAAATTGGCTTATAAAGCCCTTCCCTTTTGAGCTGCACAGCCCATACGATTCCAAGTGAGCCCTCCAAGTTGTAAGCAGGATGTCTAAAAACGACCTCTTATATCCCAGAGGCCGAGTAAGAACAGCTCAATTAATCTGGTCGCCATGTAATCACATTTGTAATGAGATTAAGGTGTTTAGACAAATCAATGCTCCTAATTTTACCTTTGTCAGGTTTGTATTCACCACCGCCTAATATGTCTTCAAGATCCTTGTCTGAAAAACCTGGAGAAAACCAAATATACATGTCAATACCACAACACATTTTTCAGGGACAAAAATCTTGTGTTAGTGTTGCCCAACATCCCCAGAAACTGACTGCCAGTTAAGAATGTCCCTGATGAATATGATAGGCAAAATTCTAACAGGGCACTAAGATTCCCTCCCACTAGGGTACACACCTTGCATAATCTCCCATCACTTGGGAGTGTGAGTGGGACCATGGACAAGGTGGCTATCCCCGTTGCCATTAGGTTATATTAGGCGCCAAAGGTAAAGAGCTACTGCAGATGTAATTAAGGTCCCAAATCAGTTTGACTTTGCCTGAATCAAAAAGGAGATTATCCTCCGTGGGCCTGACTCAAGCAGGCAGGCAGGGTGAGGCCTTCCTGAGCTCAGACACTAGAAGCAGCAGAGTTAGTCTTCCTCTCCCAGCATTCCCCCGTCTCTGTCTTTCTCCATCAGTTCTACGACTGCAGGGAAACGTACTCTGCCAACCACCACACGAACTTGGAAGAGAACCCAAGCTCAGAGGAGACCAGGCCGGGCTGACATCGTGATGGCAACTCGGGAGGCCCTGGACAGAAAGCTCGGCTTAGCTGTTTACCTGAACTCATCACCAAAGGGAACTGAGTTCATAAATGGGTGCTACCTTAACTCGTGAAGCTTGTGATCATTTGTTATGAGGCAAAAGAAAATAATACAAGGAAACAGAAAAAAATGGATTCTGGCTTAACCACGGAGTACATGACTTTAATGTTCTGTGTGAGGAAATGGAAAGTAGGCTGCAAGTATTTCTGCCACGTTTTTTGAGTCAACTGTACTACTTTGGAGTGCGCTTGAGTGACTATTTCGGTTCTGAGTTTATCAGCTGCTCTGTGCCACAGAAGACCACTTTTCCTAGAAAGAATCAGTGATGGTCAAACTAGGGTTATGGCAGCTTGAATATTTGGCAGATGTTTTCTTGGAAATGAAATGAAAGGACGCTGTCCCTTCAAAGAAAACCACTGGCAAGATCTGTCGCCAATGGTAAGATTTCGAACAAAACTTAGAATTTTGAAAAATCGCTATCTACTACTGTGAGCTTAGCAGCTTCCCAATACTTAAGACTTGATCTATGGAGATGGGAGTGACATTAACAAATGTGAGTTTGGGGTACTGCATAATGAAACATGGCATTATCTGGAAGTTCAAAAGACCTCAGGACACCAGTATTTCTAAATGACCAATGCACAATATATAAAACCAAGAATGGGTAAAAATTCCACTGAAAGTCCAAGGAAGTCCTGGAGGGTTTAATGGAATCGAGTATGAAAAGTTCACTGATAGGGTGTCACATTCCACACTACAATGAAACGGTAAGAAACCACCACCAGCTGAGTTTGGGTGTCTTTACAAAGAAGAATATCTACAGCAATGACCTAAAAAGTCAATTAAAATATCCCTCCCTTTTTCAAATGCATATGTATATGAGGCCAGATTTCCTTCATACACTTCAGCCACCACAATACATTACATCTGAATCCGGAAACAGAGTGAGTCTAGCTCTTCTGCTGAGACATTACAGAAATGTGCAAAAAATGTACACAGAAACAAAAGCCTTTGAAATCCTCAATGATTTTGGGAGTCCAGAGACCAAAATGTTTGTGAAGTACTATTTAGGGTTCTCCTATGCCTTGGCTCTGCTGGGCCCCGGGGGGCTCTGCAGGCCACTGTAGTGAATGAGTGACAACCCGGCCAGGGAGCCGCCATGCTGACTTACCACCTCCTCCTCCTGCGCTCGGTTTCCTGCGGCCATCATCTCGATCATTTCGGTCATCCAGGGCATCAGCCAAGTTAAAATCATCATCTGCAGTGGACCCCAAAACATACAAGAGAAAGTCAACTGGTTAAAGCACAGGGAGCTCTTTGGACATCTGCCCCAAAGAGAGCTCCAAGGTACCCTTCTTTACTGCCCTCCTCAGAGTGGCAGCATTACCTGCAGGCTTTGCTGGAGCTCTGGTTGTTCCTGGCCTCTTATAAAATGGGGAAGGGGGACAGCATGGGAACACATTTAGTAACAAAATACAGCAGCCACCTCATGGCTCAGGGATGTTACATCATGAGTATGGTGCACTTGTCTTAGTCCTTGAGGCCCCTCTAAGGCCTCTGACAACCCCTTTGAGGATGACAAAGAAATGTAGAAGGTTTAAATGAGATGAGTTCCATTCATTTCTCTTCAGAGGACTGGTGGTAAGGCAGACATGGTCCCACAAATGACCTGAAGATTAATGGAGCGATGTGTTCAGCCTAGATCTGTTGGATAGGACCCCCTGGTCCAGGGGGTTCCAGAGCTTGAGCACGACCCTTGGGAGCTTCAGGCCTTGGTTTCCACCACTATCAACCTGGCACCATAACCGTAAATAATACTGCGCAGGGATGGACTGAGGTTATGTTCCCAGTAGAGTATGGGAATGTCTTATAAACTGAAAGTAGTATAATACCAACAAAATATTTTATATAAGCATGGTTGTTACTCCTGTAACTAAGGTTTTTCAGCTCAACCAGACTCCTCTAAAAATACGGACTTCTTTCACTCCTATCACATAGCAGCATACTATGTATCAGTTTTCTAATAGCTTCTTTCCTTAGACATCAAGACTTTGGTGTAACTGTTCCTACTATTAGAAATTGGTTAAAAGTAAAAAGATGGGTAAAAGTATATGATACAAATAGCAACTGTGGGAGAGCTGGAGTAGCTGTATTACTATCAGATAAAACAAACATTAAGACAAACACTGTTACAAGAGTCAAAGAATGACATTTTGTAATCATGAAAGGATAAATCCAGCAGAAAGATAAAATTTTAAACATATATGCACCCAACAATCAAGCCCCAACATACAAGAAAAAAATGGCAAAAATTGAAGAATAGGCAATTTGACAATAATAGTTGTAGATTTCAATACCATCCTTTCCATTGTAGATAGAACAGCTTGATTGAAAATCAGAAAGGAAGACTTGAACCAACGGGTCGAAGAAGAAATCACAGGGCATATTATTAAATACCTTGAGATGGATGAAAAAGAAAACACAACATACCAAAACTTATGTGTTATTATGAAAGCACTGCTGGGGGGTGGGGAATTTCCAGCTGTAAACACTGACATTAAAGAAAAAAAAAAAAAAAAGGTCTCAAATCAGTAGCCTAATCTTTCGCATTAAAATATTAGATAGGGGTGCCTGGGTGGCTCACTCAGTTAAGGGTCCAACTCTTATTTCAGCTCAGGTCATGATCTCAGGGTCGGGAGACTGAGCCCCACATTGGGCACCATGCTCAGCAGGGAATCTGCTTGAGATTCTCTCTCCCCTTCTCCCTCTGCCCTTCCCCCTAAATGACTAAAATCTTTAAATAAATAAATGACTAAAATCTTTAAAAAAAAGAAATTAAAGAGGAAACCAAACCTACATCAAGCAGGAGAAAATAAAAATTGTGGCAGAAACAATTGCAATAGAGAATATAAAAAACAGAGAAAAAAAATCCAAAAATTAGATTCTTTCAGCAAAACTGACGAACTGTTACATGACCCAAGACAAAAAGAAAGAAGACCCAAATTACTAAATTCAGGAATGAAGAAGAGACATTACTACCGACTGTACAGAAATAAAAAGAATTAAGGAACACTATGAGCAATTCTATTACAATAAATTAGATAACCTAGATGAAATGGACAAATTCCTGTACACAAACCACCAAAACTGACTCAAGAAGAAACAGAAAATCTGACTAGATCTACAAGTAAAGAGAGTGAATCAGGGATTTAACAACTTTCCACAAAGAAAATCCCAGGACCAGAGGTCCTCACTGATGATTTCTACAAAATATTTAAAGAAAAATCAAAGTCATTAAGGAGGGCACGTGATGTGATGAGCACTGGGTGTTATACTGAACCGATGAATCATTGAACATTATATCAAAAACCAATGATGTACTATACCTTGGCTAATTGAATTTAAATTAAAAAAAATAAAGGGCGCCTGGGTGGCTCAGTTGGTTAAGCGACTGCCTTCGGCTCAGGTCATGATCCTGGAGTCCCGGGATCGAGTCCCGCACCGGGCTCCCTGCTCGACGGGGAGTCTGCTTCTCTCTCTGACCCTATTCCCTCTGATGTGCTCTCTTTCTCTCATTCTCTCTCTCAAATAAATAAATCTTTCAAAAAAAAATAAAGAAAAATCAAAGTCAATTCTTCTTAAACTCCTCCAAAAAGTAGAGGGAATACTTCCTAACTAATTCTATGACGCCAGTAGTACTTTATACCAAAACCACCACAAGATAACTAGATAACAAATCTACCACAGACCTCTAACCGACCTCTAACTCTTATGGGCACAGATGCAAAATCCTCAATAAAATACTAGCAAACCAAATCCAGCCACATATTAGGATTATAAAACATGGCCAAGTAAGATTTATTCCAGGAATTCAAGGGTAGCTCCATATAAGAAAAATCAGTGATATCCAAAACTACTAGAACAAAGGGAAATAAAACACTTGATCATCTCAATAGATGCAGAAATGCATCTGACAAAAGCCAAAACCCTTTCATGCTAAAAAAAAAAAAAAAATACTTTTTATCTAGGAATAGAAGGGAATTTCCTCAACCTGACAAAGGGCATCTATGAAAAATCCACAGTAAACATCGTATTTAAGGATGAAAGACTGAAAGCTTTTCTCCTAAGATCATCAACAAGACAAAGGAGGTCTACTCTCACCACTTCTATTAAATATTGTACAGGGCAATTAGGCAAGGAAAAAAGTCATCTAGACTGTGAAGAAAGAAGTAAAACTATCTCTAGTAAAAGATGACATGACCTTTACATATAGAAAACCTTAACAATCCAGACCTTACCCCCACCAAAAAAAAGAAAAAAAAAACTGTCTTAGAGATAAGTCCAGCAAAGCTGCAGGATACAAGATCAATATACAAAAGTTGTATTTCTATATATTAGCAATGATCTGAAAAGGAAAATAAAGTGATTCCATTATAATAGCATCAAAAGAATAAAATTCTTAGGAATCAACTTAACAAAGGATGTGTAAAGATTTGTACACTAAAAGCCACAAAAGTGTTGAAAGAAATAAAAGGAGTCTAAATGGAATACCCCACTGTCATAGAAGACTCACTATGGTTAGTTAAGATGGCAATATTACCCAAATTAATCTACAGATTCTACGCAATCTCTACGAAAATTCCGACTGCCCCCCCCTTTTTTTACAGAAATGGATAAACTGATCCTAAAATTCAAATGGAATTACATGGGAGCTCAAATAGCCAAAATAATAGTAAGAACAAAATTAGAAGAGTCACACTACAAACCTACAGTAATCAAACCTGTGCGATACTGGCATACGAATATATATATAGACCAATATCACAGTATTGAGAGTACAGAAAGAACCCACATATTTATGGTCAACTGATTTTCAAGAGGGTGCCAAGATCATTCAATGGGGGAAAGGAATGGTCTTTTTAATAAATGTTGCTGGGACAACTGGATATCCACATGCGGAAGAATGAGGTTGGAACCCTTCCTGACACCATATAGAAAATTACCTCAAAATAGATCAATCTGGCCACAAATTTTCAGAGATGACACCAAAAGCATGAGCAACCAAAGAAAAAGGATAAATTAAACTTCATCAAAATTTCAAACCTCCGTGCATCTAAGTACATTTTCAAGAAACTGAAAAGATAACCTAGGAAATGGGAGAAAATACTTGTAAATGATATCTGATGAAGGTCTAGCATTCAATATGTATAAAGACCTCCTCAGTCATCAGGAAAACACAAAAACCACAATGAAGTTCTACCTCATCACTACTAGGAAGGCTATAATCTTTTTTAAATTGGAAAATAAAGACATAAACATAAAGCCAGAACCATAAAACCCTTAGAAGAAAACAGGAAAAAAAAAATTTGACATCAGACCTGGCAGTGATTTCTTGGATGTGATACCAAAAGTACAGGGAATAAAAGCAAAAACAGACAAGTGGGACTACATCAAACTAAAAGGCTTCTGCACAGCAAAGGAAACAGTCAATAAAATGAAAAGGCAATATATGGAATGAGAGAAAATATTTGTAGATCACATATCTGATATGGGGTTAATATCCAAAATACGTAAGGAAATCCTACAACTCTATAGCAAAACAAAAAATCATCTGGTTAGAAAATGGGCAAAGAACTTAGATATTTCTCCAAAGAAATGGCCAACAGGTATATGAAAAGATGCTCAATATAACTAATCATCAGGAAAACATAAATCAAAATGAGGTATCACCTCACACCTGTTAAGACGAATATTATTTTTTAAAAAACCACAAAAGGTAACACGCTGGTAAGGTTGTGGAGAAAAGATAACCCTTGCACACTGTTGGTGGGAATGTAAAATGGTGCTGCTACTATGGAAACAGTACGGTGGTTCCAAAAAATGACAGAAACAGGACTACCACTGGATCTAGCAATCCTACTTCTAGGCTTATATCCAAAAGAAAGATAATTAGGATCTCAGATGTCTGCATGTCCATGTTCATTGCAACAGTATTCTCAACAGCTGTGAGAAAGAAATAATCCAAGTGACCATTGATGGATGAATGGATAATGAAAATGTGCTATGTAAATAAAATGGAACATTATTCAGCCTTAAATAGAAAGAAATCCTGCTATTTGGGACAACACAGATGGACCTGGAGGATACTATGCTAAGTTAAATAAGCCAAACACAGAAGGACAAATACTGCATGATCTCACTTTTAGGAGGAATCTAAAGTAGTCAAATTCATAGAATCAGAGGGTAGAATGGTGGTTA